GTGGCCATGGCTAGCTGCATAGGAGTCTGGGTTTGAAATGGAGGCTTTTCTGCTGAGCGGCAGAAAGCCTGGCTAAAATTCAGGATGCCAAGGAGTAATGTCTGGTAGGGGGAGCAGTCAGTCAGCAGTCTGACCAGGGAGTATTTTTTTTTTTTTTTGAGACAGGGTCTCACTCTGTCACCCTTGGTAGAGTGTCACGGTGTCATAGCTCATAGCAATCTCAAACTCTTGGGCGATCCTCTTGCTTCAGCCTCCAGGGTAGCTGGGACTACAGGCACCTGCTGTAATGCCAGGCTACTTTTTCTATTTTTAGTAGAGCTGGGGTCTCGCTCTTGCTCAGGCTGGCCTCAAATTCCTGAGCTCAAGTGATCCACCTGCCTCGGCCTCCCAGAGTGCTGGGATTACAGACATGAGCCACCGTGCCCAGCCGGACATGGAGTCTTAATGCAGGACGAGCATTGGGGAGAACTGTTACCTCAGTATTTAGCAGGACATGGTCAAGCAAGTTTACCCAGGCCCTGGGACTGTGGCTCAGACCCCTGGCTTAACTGCCAGTTCCTACTGCTTCACCACATCACGTCATTAACGGAAGCATCACATCCTCAGACTACTTATAAAAAGCCTCTGGCTATAAAAATGGATTTATGTGTGTCTGCTCCATCAAATCGGGGAAAACCAGTTACTTGAATGTTGGTAAAGGCATTGGTGGAAGATGGTCTCTTGGTGAAAAGATTGTCCTTTTGGAGGGTAGATGGATTTCAGGATTTTGTATGATAGGTAGTTTGGCATGACGGTATTTGGCAGAAGGGTAGTTTCATAGTGGCCATTAAAAGTGAAATAAGTAAAAAATGAGATATTTTGAAAAAACTTTGGAAAATGTAAAGATTTACCCAAAGTGAAGGCAGTCTTACGACTTTTATTTTATTATTAAATCACTTCTTTCTTTCTCTTAGAAAGCAGAGGAAGACACAGTGTGCCTTTTCCAGTTTTTCTGTGCATTTATACATATTTGTTTGGACCCCTAGATAGTGTCCCAGAAACATAGTACTTATAGCAGGACTTTGTCCCTGCTCTTGCCAGGGCTCCTAATCAGTACGCTGTCACCTGCATGTGCCTATAGAATGGCCGGGACATTTCACTGTGTCATTTTGTGTGTCCCAGTGGTGCTTTAGTTTCATGTAACATTCTGCTCACGGCCATGGCATCCACATCTCATTAACGTTTGGTTTTGCTCCCGCTTATGCCCGCCTTCGGTTTTAAGCAACTCATTCTTGGTTTTATAGCAGAAAGGGTAGACGTGACTGGTGCACCGTATTTGGTTTGGGACTAGCCACTCCTACTTTCCTCTTTTCTGATGTCAGCTTAACATCTGGAGGTTTGCCGCCTTACATCCCTCCTCTCCAGAGACCCTTTCTCCTTACACCAGTCTCGTCTCCCTCTCCCCCAGGATACACCCTGCACTTCTGCACCCCAAGGCTCACATCATGCTCACCTTTGCTCTGGGTTGAACCTTGCTTTCAGGGTGCCCTCGCCTCCACTCTCTGCCTGTCCACCCCTGGCCCCGCTATCTGTGCTCAACTCAAACGTGGCCGTATCTCCTTACAGTCATAACTCAGCACCCGTCCCCGCTGTGGTCACTGTTAAGTCGTCATTTGCTAGACATGCATTACCTGGAGCACACAGAAGAATATTAGAGTGACAAGGGACTGGAGCTGCTTGTTCAGCAGTTGCCTGACTCAGGTGCCTTCCGGCCAGGCTGAATAAATTTGTGAAGCAGCTGGTAGAC